CTGGAATATATATATATATATATATATATATATATATATATATATATATATATATATATATATATATATATAAGCGCAAAATGTGCTCAATGTATATATATATAAGCGCAAATGTGCTCAATCGAGCATTTACGGTATGTACATGTCATATGCAGACAGTGAGGGATGAACAAAGGATCAATTTTTCTTTTTTATATATATATATATATATATATATATATATATATATATATATATATATATATATACCGGTGTAACAGCAAAAAATTGTCTAGTCGAGTGAAAGTAAAATTGTCCATTTGTCAGATTAAGATTTGAATCGTTGTATCTTAGAAATGATTAAAAATATCTTACTGGAATTCTCCGAGTTTTTTATAACACTATTGAACTCCTCTGGGCTACAAGAATGTATAATTACTCTCTAAGTTTAACAGAAAAATCGTAATGATATCAATCATAAACGAAAATGACATGTTCAGCATTAATTAATCATAGCTAAGGATCGAAAGGTATGTAGTATTGAAATAAAATTAATATATATATATATATATATATATATATATAGAGAGAGAGAGAGAGAGATAGATAGATAGATAGATAGATAGATAGATAGCGACTGGAGCTACATAAGACAACTTTGCAGAGAGTAACCTCTCCCCACCGCCAATAAGGCGTCTTGGGTATGATGATAAACTGAATCCGGCAGCAAGGCCTCTGATCAGGAGGTTTTCAGGAGCGTGGTACCACCTCTTAATTTATGTTGTTCCTAGATCCACCCTGACCCGGGATGGTAGCATCTGTTAGCTTCCCAGGTATGGGCAAATAGTTAACCCCAAAACTGGAGTCAAAACACTATGAAAGTGTAAAAATACGTTTTTATAGTAATATTACCAGCAATATATTTTTGAAAAAAAATTATTCCCGGCAATACATTCATGAAAAAAAATGGTATTAACAATACATTTTTGAAAAAAAAATATTACCAGAAATACATTATTTGAAGAAAAATATTGCCGGCAAAACTCCCTTTTTACATAAATAAACCCATGAAATCTGATCTACAAACTGATTTCTTCGAAAGAATATACTATCCTAAAAAATCTTGGCGGCATTAAATAACACATTGAGGTTGATATGCCTTAAATCAAAATAAACAAAAGTAAACTATATAAAACTACAGTCAATACTAAATTAAATGATTTTGAAACATGAGAACTCTTATGTAGCGAGGGAATCCTATTTTTTAAAGAAATAGATATAATTAAAGCTCTACTTCTGTATGGAGCACTGTTTTTTAAAAATAAAAACAAAAATAATAAAGAACTCCGGATTATTGACCTAATGTGTTCTTTCCTATTTTTCTACATATCTGCATATATATATATATATATATATGTGTGTGTGTGTGTGTGTGTGTGTGTGTGTGTGTGTGTGTGTTTAACTGTTTGTATAAACTGTTTTAATTTTTGTCAACCATTAAAATGGTGACACCACAAGAAGAGGCGTTTTATGTCCTGCACTTTACGTAGTTTAACATTAAAATAATAAACTTTAAACCTTTTTCTCTCCAGTAATGTGTTAAATGTCTTTCTGTCTCTTAGCATTTGTTTTTATTACATTTTTGAAATCTGCTCTTTATATATATATATATATATATATATATATATATATATATATATATATATATATATATATATATATATATATATATATATATATATATATATATATATATATATATATATATATATATATATATATATATATATATATATATATATATATATATATATATATATATATAGAGAGAGAGAGAGATATTTTTGACTAAAAAGAACCGATTGGATCTGTCTGATTAATTATTTATAATATTTTTCCAGATTGAATAAACTGTCGCCGCTGGGTGTTGACTTCAATTTCCACTGATATATTTACATGCGTTATATTCCTGATATTGAGCACTCCCCCATAAATATAGCATAACTTAAAACTATATTTTATCATAGTTAACTCCTGGTAAATAGCAGGTCACTTTCGCGACATTTTAAATCCGTCATGTGCATCGAAAAGTTTCGCTTCGTCTACTCCTAAAAAATGCACCCCCCATTCCATCAATATCCACATAGAAGCTAAAAATGATAGGGAAAAAATAGAAAACTTCATAAAAAGAATGAGATGGAAAGCACGTTTCTTTTTAAAACATGAACTTAAGACAAATACCACACTCAAGTAAAAATACGGTTTAAAAAAAAATGTCCCCCACAACGCAAAGAACTAAACGACTTCGAGAAAGACTTGATTAACTTAATAAGGAACATAAAATTCCATAAACACTTAGATACCGCAAAATAAAAATACTAAAAGAAGATATAACTAAAATAAACAATTCAGCTAACGTATTTATCGCAGCGGACAAAACTAGAAATTTATACGAACTACAATAAATTACTCAAGGACAGCATAACTAAAACATACAAAAAAACCACCGAAAACAACAAAACACGATATCAATAAGGAAGCTAAAACAATCGCTCCAAAAAATAAGCCTAGACAACCGAATAAATTGCATCGCTAAGACACAAGCATTTTTCACACTTAA